AGCCCAATTTGGTCTAGGCCCGAGGTGGGCTTAATAGCCGGCGACTACTGTACTGCGCTTTGTGAAGCCTCATGCACATTCGGTACTTATGGTCTAAATATTGTTCACTATGCTATGTAGGGATGAGGGGGCGCTTTGTCAGACTGACCCTGTGAGCGGCCGGGTCCATGTCCGGACATATGTTTTGCAGGGTAGGTGACGGAACTGGCCATCCCAGTCTACGGAAATGTTATCTCCAATGCCTCTTGCTTATTGACTGTCCGTCGCAACGCGACAGCAAGAAAGCCCTCTAGATTGAAACTGTAGGGCGAAATTGAACCTCCTGAAATCAGACCCAATCAGCGAACGCCCCACATAACCTTGCTTTGCTAGCTTCGCTCATACTGTTATTGATCGACTATTTCGCTCCCCCCCCTCCTTATCCCTGCAATTGCAGGAGAATCTGCGCGAAAAACTGTCCCACTGGAATGCATTCGAAGCGGCCATCAGTGAAGGTGAGGCCTTCCTGGATCATGATCTGGCTGATTGGTGGCATCAGCGCCAAGGTCGCCCCTCCGTGGTGGCTCCGCCAGTTGAGGAAAGAAGAGGGCGCAATCGAAAAGCGCGGAAGCGCACTAAAATGCAGGCCAGCATCCACACAACAGCTGCTGCAACCGACGGCGCTGCTCGTTCTACAGGCAGCAGACCTTCCTCTGACTGTCCCCAGTTTGGGGCGGCTGAAGTCGGTGCTATGATCGCCCAGCTCGAGGTAGGTCACCAATATCTTTCTCCGTTTTGATATTGTTCAGGACAACTCGTTCAATGAACTCCAGAAGTGTGTGGAGGAACAAGCCGCTGGACTGGAAAATTTATGACCAAAGCTGCCAAATTTAATAAGTATCTGTATGGTTCTGACCGACTACAAAAGGTAGATACATTGAATGACAAGTTACTGAGATAAAGTAAGAAGGGTTCTAGCCGAGCAGGCAGGACATAAAGAATTGTGGTATGACACCGTTAGGTTTGCATACTGTTGACTCAGGGACATTTCTAAGAAATGTATCAGGTATGGACACCGAATCAAGCTAAAAATAAACAGTTGAAAGTGCAAAATAAAGATTTGGAAGACCATGTTTACGCACTCATAGTAAGGAGTAAATTCAAATCCAGTAAGTTCAAGTTTTCACCAACATTACGTTATGAGGGAGATCGCTGGATAGTGAAACGCTTTTGAATTTTTCTAAATATAGACAGAAGACTAAGATAAGAGCATGTGCTGAAGTTAAAAACCGCCTAGCGGGCATTTTTTTGAGGCTGTCCCGCAACCCCTTTTGAAGCTTTAGAAGCC